CGCCCACCGATCCGCCCGCTGCCTGCGTCCCGCGGAACGGCTGCGTCCGGCTGCAGGAACGCCCCGCGGGGCAGTCGCCACACACACCGGGAGCCTTAGAGTGGCGGACGCTTCCTCTGTGCCGGCGGTAGGAGTGGGCGGCGGGCGCCGCCATGTTGTACGGCAGCTAGTGGCGGGATGTCTGTGTCACTGGGCGGGCGCCAACGTGCCTTCAGCCGGGGCAAAATGCTGGCAAGAACACTGGGAAGCCAGCTCTTTAAAAAAGAGATTTTTGGAGTGAAAAGTGCGGTTTGTTCTCTGCCACTAGGGAGGGCTTGAGGAGCGAGCCGCAGCGGGCGCGAAGTCACCCACAAGCAGAGCGCCGGGGAGCCCCTGGGGCAGGAGGGGCGGAATAGAGTGGGAAGTAAAGAACAAAGGCAGCCAGGACAATAAATAGCAAATCGCAGCCACCTCCAAAGCGGCACACTGGAAGAAAACAAAGAGGGAACAAATCAAATGGAGAGTATTAAGAAATGAACAGAGGAATAGTCGTGACAAGCGACTGTTCCCCCCGTGTGTGTGGAGAAATAGGAACAAGTGTGACACCCCAAAACCTGGACAGTGAGTATACAGGCAGCTGCTGTATTCGGGGTTACGATCATCAGCGCTTGAGGTCATCACTGTCAAAAAGCAAACAGGTTTTCAGTCCAAACTCCATTGCAAATAAGAGGATCCGAGCACTCAATTTCTTCAAATTTCTTTGCAATTCCCGGTATCTCCCAGATTTTATGCTGTTAGAATTCCACCTAGCTGCATCTATTTGAATTAGAGACTGAACCCACTGAAAATGCTGTGTGAAATCAATTTAACAATTTGACAGCATCAAATTTTGTTTTAACTTTGCCACTTGTAGTCATCAGGGTAGGAGGATATCCCTAGGAGAGACTTGGTATTTAGCAGACACATTGTCCAAAGAGTGCAACAAAGCAGCTAATGGCTGGCATTGGCAAAAATCTCCTATAGAAGCAGTATTTTTTCCGTCTGTAACTCGTCTTCATTTTCCCCCTTTTTTCTTAACTGAGGAAGGAGGTACAGGCATTGTGATAACTCACAAGGAACACAGGAGATTTCCAGAATAACAGTTTTCTGAGCAAAGAAGGCCCTCCTTATTAGAAATAAGATGGCAATGCTATTAAAGGTTAAGCAGCTACTTGTTCTAATGACCTGATCTATGCCAGCATGATGTGGCCATATCAGATCTCACTGGTGCTGGGGGTAGAATAAGAGTTTTGTTTTCCATTTACTTCCATCTGTATTTTGAATGTACAAATTCTTTATACCTTAGAGTTACAGCTTCTGTATCTTAAGTGTTTCTGCAAAACCTCTCAGTCTTGCTCTACAGTGAAGAAATTTTTATCCATTCTTATATTAATTCACTGAGTTACAAAGCATTGCAGTTTCTCTGCAGTAACTCACATCTTGTCTCTGGTTCATTCTCCTCTAGAGGGAAGGCCTGCTTGGCCCCAACTTCTCCATCCATCCCTTGTGCTCTGATGCAGCAGACACAACTGACCAGCTGAAGTGCAGGTCACCAAGCAGGGGCCAGCACTATGAAGTTTCTCACATGACTTGTGCTCAGAGAAGTGCATCATGTGCATGCTCAGGCGTGAATGCTGGGGGTGTCTGGCAATATCTGAGTTCCCACAGTCAGAGGGACATATTCTGCCTGTTTCTCTCCCTCTCTCTTCCCTTTACACATATCCTTCAAGGTACAGTACTTAGTTTTGTATCATCACTGGAATCTAGCATAAACCTGGATTACCACTTGGACAGATCGTCCCACACTTCCTGTTGTACCTGTGATTGTACCTGTGACTGACTGCTCACTCCCTGCTCCCTTGCTCCAGCATGCACATTTCTGTAATGGCAGGGTCAGAAAATCATGGAACTGATCCATCTATAAACTAGTTCAAGGAAAAAAGGTAACACCTGGGGACAGAACAGACATTTCAAGGCCCAAGTGATTGGAAAGAGAACCAAGAAGATGATGCTGCTGGGCTCCAGGATCCAGCTGCCCTATTGTGGGGTAGGCAAGGAATCCTTAAGAGAACTCTCAGAGCTCAAGATAAGCACAGAATGCTGAAAAAATCTGCAAAGGTTGTTTGCAGGTGGACCCTTTGTAATAAACTGGCCCCTTTGTAATAAACTGGCATCCACCCAGAAATCTGAAAAAGCAGGTTTTCCTCTTATAAGTTGTTTATTTTAGTTGCTAAAGTAATAGAAGTGTAAATTTACAACAGAGAAAAATGCAATAAAAACCCCAATATTTATTACACAGTGAAAATCTCACAGAGAAGCTGCTAGCTTTTCTCCCAAGTATGATCTTCTGATCATATTCCTGGTTGCATTTAAAGCCACTATTTTTCATGGCATCACTGACATTAGAGTCCTGTAAGCCACATCTTGTCTTATATCTACATTTATTCAAGTATAAAGATTAAATTAAAAATAAATGAAAGCAACTGATGCATAAGTGCACACTGGCAAAAAAAAGCCAAAACAAAACAAAAGCCCAACAAAAACAACAACAAAGAAAGCAAAACAAAAACTACACCACAAGTTCCCAAAACCTGATAGAGACATCGCTGAAGATGAGAAGATAACCAAGTGAGCAACACTAACTGCTGGCTGAGCCTTACTTACAAGAAATCTGTTACCAGCAGGTGACTGGAAGCCTTTACATGGTAAACAGCAACATTAACTTTTCTGTGTCTGTAGCCTGGCCTGAAGTCTCTGCAGAGGTCACTGTCAAAAGACTAATTTTTAGCCTTATTTCCTAAGGAAAGAAGGCTTATGAAATTACTCTATGTTAGTGTTTCTGCCTCTGGGTCTCTTTACTTACCCCACTTTCCTTGCCAAAAGAAGCATGTTTAAACCATTGCTAAATTCCATCTAAATTTGTACAGAGGTAACTTAAGTGAAATGCAAAGCCAAATGGATGAAACAGGTCCTAATAAAGCTGTCACTGATAAAATGGTAAGCATGTGCAGACACTGTTTAATATACATACAAGAATCCGCACAGCAGTACCACATCAGGACAAATCCATAGGAAACCAGGCTTCACTTGTTCTGCTGATCACAGAAAAAAGAATTATTTTTATAATGACATTAGCTCATCCTTTAGGAGGGAGAAGACTAGGGTAAATGAGTCAGTGTTCAAAGGAAAATCAATGATCGTGGAATATCAAAGGAGAGAGGCTCCAGTGAAGACTTAAATTGCTGGTAGCAGACAATGAGCGGAGAGCTGCATGTAGTCCCCACTAGCTCATTAATAACACTCTCTTTGGGGCCCCATCCCAAGCTACAGAAAAAAGCCAAACTCACATTACATCTCCTAATGTGATTTATCTTCCTTCTGTCGATGCTAGTAACCCCATGACTACATATGCAAACAAGCCATTTTGAGCAGGGTTTGTTTTAACAGGGTTGATACCAAGAAGGCAGTAGGGTTTCTTTCCAGAGTAGTCAGAATGAGATCAGTTTCGATCAACTGTGCAGCCAGGTCCTAAAGGTGAAGTCTCACACTGCAACAAGGTGGATATGAATAGAAGGTTTAGCTTCTTTTGTTGAAAAGACAATTCTGCTTCCCCCTTCTACCTGTCAGCATTCTTCTCCAGCCTCAATTCTGCACATACTGGTGCCTGCTTGATTCAAAGAATTAAATGAGCAGAAAGCTATCCCAGCAAAAAACTGGGTTTTCTTCTGGTTTAACTCCTTGTACTAAGTCATTGTACAGCCAGATCTCAGTGAAACTACATCCTAAGCCAAAAGATGAGTCAGTGGTAGCTCACTGGAGGTAGCTCACTGACAGAGTTTGCAGGTTTTGCAAAGAATCTGAAAAAAACTCAGAGCTGTAAAATGCCAGATAATCCCATGGGGATGAGTTGTATTAACATTGATCATCATCAACGTATTTCTTCCTTAACTGCCAACTCTTCTCATTGCTTATATAGAAACAGAGAGGAATTTCACTGTTCCATTTCTTGAAGAGCTGCTTATCTTACCCCAGTAGTTAAGTACAGAAGGCACTCTGAGTCAGCCTCACAGTTTATGGCTGCTAAGAATATGACATCCCCCATCTCCAAAACTAATCTCCCAACTGGGCACTCCAGACTAGCTTGTGCTGATTTTGGCACTCATTGGGACACTTCCATGAGCAAAATAAACACATGGCAGACAAGCAAGTCGAATAAGTAGCAGCATCAGCATAAAGAAAAGGACAGAACATAGAACCACAAAAAAATAAAGCCACCTTTCAGTGGCCATAAATCATTAGATTGGCTTAGCTGCATGTTAAACCTACATAGCAGAACAGCAAGTCCCAAGGGGAGACATTTGAGAAAACAATCCTTGCTTTTCCTATCTTTCTGATCCATGAAAGTAAGCAAAAGGAGAAAAGCCCAGAAGCCACCAAATTTTCACTATAGGGAATAAATTACACAAGCAAAATTATTTTTTTTAAAAATGATATGGCTAAAATATTATGTGGTCTTCTTGGTTTACTCTTTTGTTTCCCCTCAAAAGTAAAAAATATTGTTATAAATAAACAAATAAAAGCCTTTGACACAGCTCCACTTTCCTAATTATGCATTCACTCTCTCTGACTCACTCCATAGATATCCAGCTATCTGTGTCCAAACCTCTCAGTTTCCACTCTGGATTAACCAAAGCCAACCAAAGGCTCAACAGAACCCCAAAAAGAGTAGTTAACTCTCGTCCTTTCTCACCTGATACAATCAACCATGCTTCACTTACATACTTTTTACCTATTTAAGACTTCGTTCCTAGTGTTTGACAGACTCTCAGAGAGCCATATCCTTCTGTTATCCTCCTACATTATCTTTGAGTTAGCTCCAGGGAAAGGAGATCAATAAAGCATCTGCAGAGAGATATTAATTTATTTGTATTTCAGATGAGATACCTCCCCCTATCCAAACTCAAAACACAGTCTTCTCTCTTCTGTGAATGACTAGCAGGAAATTAGAGCTCAGCAGAACTAGAACTCTTCCCTGAAAGCCCTCTTATTATCTTCTTTGTATCCGTGGATAGCATCACCAATTTACCTGCCACTCAAGCTTGTCAACTGTCAGGTCTGACTGAAATGTCTCTAGATCCTAGCACCCAGGGTATATAAAACTTGTTTTCCAGCTTCCATGTGGCAGCTCCAAAACAGTCCTTTGATCCATCCTTGCAGCTAAGACCCTTGTTCTCTTCCTGATAGAC